AGGGTGCGACACACAAAACGCCCGACTACCCAACAGTACCCAACACCTTTCGTCTGCACCTTCCCAACATAACATATATGAGACACACAAGACAGCTACCAAACTGATTTGTTGAGCCTGTTACCCACAGGGGAGATGTCCCTATATGCTGTCTGGGAAATCGTAGACACACAGGTAGTTTTCTCTGACGCTATGATTCCATTGTTAATCTGTCTCTGACTCTTTTCTATGATAGATATGGACTCGTTGTTGTGTCATATTAAGAAAAAAAAATAAAATAGAACTCCTGCGCGAGACCTGAGCTGCCGACAGTTTTGCATTTTTTGGATGTGACTCAGGCCCATGTTTGTTTATGGTTTCCATATCTTTATCTTCCTTTCTTTGGACAAATGTTGGCTTTTTCGACCTCGTAGGCAGTCTGCCTTCCAAACGAATGCGAATCAGCTGTTCGACCTTTGAGAACAGTCACAGCTTTGGCTGTGATGTCTACAGATCGCCTACATTTTTCGCCAGGGCCCAGGTTTGATTTTTTCAAGATGCGCAATTTTCACGCAAGATTTTTCCAACACCATCTTTTGGACAGATCTTGGCCCAAGGTTTGCTCCGAGTTGGCCTTTCGGCCGAATCTTCAACATCTTGCTCTGCTGGAAAAATATCAAACGTGGACCCTGGCGAAACAAATAGGCGGTCTGTATGCATCTCAGGCAAAACTGTGACTATTCTCGNTCCATATCTTTATCTTCCTTTCTTTGGACAAATGTTGGCTTTTTCGACCTCGTAGGCAGTCTGCCTTCCAAACGAATGCGAATCAGCTGTTCGACCTTTGAGAACAGTCACAGCTTTGGCTGTGATGTCTACAGATCGCCTACATTTTTCGCCAGGGCCCAGGTTTGATTTTTTCAAGATGCGCAATTTTCACGCAAGATTTTTCCAACACCATCTTTTGGACAGATCTTGGCCCAAGGTTTGCTCCGAGTTGGCCTTTCGGCCGAATCTTCAACATCTTGCTCTGCTGGAAAAATATCAAACGTGGACCCTGGCGAAACAAATAGGCGGTCTGTATGCATCTCAGGCAAAACTGTGACTATTCTCGAAAGGTCGAACAGCTGATTCGCAATCGTTCGGGAGGCAGACTGCCCAAAAGGTCGAAAAAGTCAACATTTGTCCAAAGAAACGAAGATGAAGATTTGGAAACCATAGTCTGAACATGGGCCTCATGCACTCGTTATCCATTTGTGTGCCTCCCGCTGATATGAGCTGTAGACCACATATGTTAGACGTCATTTTTTGGGTTTGAATCATATAGCATACAGATAGCGCCCGCACTAAAGAACTTAGAAGTTTAAGAAATTGAGACTCGCAAAAAATCAGAAGCTAAGAACTTGAGCACCATTTGTGAGCTCGGGTAGGAACCCTACACTAAAACCTATATAGCGGCCATTTGTAGCCCACAAGAGGATGATCGGCAAAATAAGAACCCCAGCCTCGGCCGAAACTAGAGGTTCTTAAGTGCGGGCGCCATCTGTATTTACCATCCTATTGTGCGACCCCCGGCTGATAGATATATTCTACGTCGAAGATGTGTAGACTGGGGCCAGAAAAAGATAGACGGGACGACCACTGAAAGCACACACCTCCAGCGCGGCAAACGTACACAACCTCGATGCTGTTTTATGCGGTTGTGCTCGTCGTGTGCATAAACGCCGTGGTCGCTCACGCGGAGAAACAATCGCACGGTGCAGTAGAAAGTGCATGTAGGCTTAGCTTAGTCCACAGCAAGCAAGCAAGCAAGCAAGCAGGCGGGTTGTCGGGTAGCCCACATTCTTGCCTTGGGGAAGAGATCGCATATGCAATACATAATATACTACATGAAATTGTTGCAGTACAGATCTGCCCACGGAGGAACACGGCAGGACATGACGGCGAAACGCAAGATCTCCGTATATGCGGTGTGCGGTGTTTCGCCGCGTGGCTTTGTTGTTTTTCGGGGTGTCTCGGTAGTTGTCTTTTGGTCCGCGTGCTGCATGCTCTCTGCACACGCCGCGGTGACGTCGTGTTTGCACGAGTAGAAGCGGGAGACAGACGTGGACAACAACAGCGGCAGACCCGCTGAGAATATACCTTCGGCATATCGCACCGATCGAAGAAGACAAGGCGACGAGGGATTCATTCGTTATCGTAAAATAATAGTGGAACAGATTCATTATTCGCTGCCACTTCTCACCGCTCCATGGTTTGTATGGTTGCAGCATAGCAGTTGAGCGTCTAGGTAATCTCTTGGGCGATGTAGGTCATTTGACGGTCTCCTGACATGGGTTTGGCGCTCAAAGGCTCCCAACACTCTCACCGCAGGTACAAACCGGCGCAAACACGTCCATGCATGCACCTATTGTATCATCTTAAGAAGGTGTTGAGTGTGTGCTTTCCACCCACATACGCGTGCTTTTGTGTCGAATAAAAAATCAAACAAGTGTGAGTCACTGGTCTGTCTGCCATATAGGTTCCACTTGAGGCCCTCTGTCCTCTGTCTAACTGTTCCTCCGCTGGTTCTGCGGATCTTTCCGTGCGGCCCGCATGCGCATGTATGTCACTGTATGCGCATGACCGGCTACCGCACATACTACAACCGCCCGGACATCACTGCCCGGCATATTGTCTTGTCCTCTCACGCCCGGGGAGATAACGCCCCGGCCGTGCCGATGCTGTGCGCGTCACCGCGCCAGCGCAGACTGCGCCACGTCAGGCTGGTTCTGCGTCGACAGAGCTGATGTGTGCTGTGCACACCTCGCCTCCCCCCTCGTCTCTCACTTCTCTTTCCCTTTCCCTCTCTTCCCAGAGACCACCACTGGCTCTTCCTAGAGAAACTACTCTGTCCCGCTGTCTGTCACCAGCGGTCCCCACCGATCGCTCCGGAAGTCTCCTCTGTCCCTACAGTTGAGAGAAGGTTCAACCCCTTCCATCGGTCCGAGGTAGCCCACACTCTTATTGGCGTCAGCTCCAGGTTAGCCTGCTGTCCTCCTCAGACCATGACTTCCGCCGACGACCTCGCCAACCAGCTGTCATTGTCCAATTTAGCCAACAACGGCGAATTGCCTACGGATCAACCCGGCGAACTCTCCGTCCCACCTGTCGCCGAAGCCCGAGATACTCCGCCCACCAGCGGAGGCCACGTCGAGGCCAAGGGCTTCGACCCACCGTCACCACCCCCACCCAACGTCCAGGACCTCGTCATCACCACGTCTCCTCCTCCGTCCGTAGCGTCCACCGCTGCGCCCTCCGTCGGCGCTCCGTCCGCCTCCTCTTCGTCCACGGACCTCACCTCCACGCTCTCCAAGATCCAGTCGGTCGTGGACAGGCACCTCGACCTGGTCACCGATGGTCGCCTGGAGCAGCTGCCCGACCACGTAGTGCAGCTGATGGACAGGATGGTGAGTCTGCGTGCAGTCGCCGTTAGGGCGGAATCCAGTTCCCCGCCTGTGTCTGTCGGTGCTTCGTCGCACACCCCCTCTGTCCCGGACTTGACCCGTTCGTTCGCTGCCGCGTTGTCGCGGCAGAAGCATGTCGTGTTGACCCCTGTTGATGTCAAGCAAGTCCCCCGTCTAACTGGTAAAAGCGACGTAGATGTCAACTCTGTCATGTCCCAGTACCGCCTTATCGCAGGATTCAAAGTCAAGGGTTCGTACCCTACCAACACCCCTGTCACGGAAATCGACAACCGCGCTGATGCCGTTGCATTCGAATCCATCTCTCTCATCTGCGACGGTCCCGTCTTGCAGATCTACCAACAAATGATGTCCGGGAAAATCGATTGTTCCGCAACCTCTGGCTCGTACCACGCTGTAGAACAAGCGAACTCTTACCCACCGCCCACCACATGGGTAGAGCTCAAAACTGCTCTTCTAGATGTCCTCATGCCCTCCAACTGTGTTGAAGAGAGCGCACTCCGTCTAGTCAACCTCCGTCAAGAGGCCAACGAGAATGTCAGCTCGTATGCCCTTCGTCTGCAAACCAACTGTACTAGGTTTGAACATGCTGTCACTAGGGCTACCCCAGGCCGCTCGCCGTACCAAGCACTTGTGGTAGTCCTCTTTCAAAATGGCCTTGTCCCGACTATTCGGTCCAAAGTTCTTGATAAGAAACCTGTCAAAGCCCTTCGGGAGGCTATCGATCGCGCTCGCCGTACCGAGTCCGCGAACTTGTCTGGTGAAACCCCTGCTGTCAGCGCTGTCTCGCTCACTCCTACCTCGTCCCGTCCCGTGTCACAAAAGTTCGAACACCACCGCCAGAACCGAGGACGCACTCCGGCGTTCCAGTCGGGATCCTCGTCCGGGGGTGGCTCGTCCTCGTCCGGGGGCAAGGCGCCTCGCCACGGCAACCACCGCGGCGGTGGTGGCAACTCCCGTCGTCCCGTCCGCAAGGAGCGCCCCAGGTGCACCCACCCCACGTGCGACAAGCCCCTGGGGCACACGACCGCAACATGCTTCCAGAAGAAGCGTGAAGAAGCGGCAACCGAGCGCAACCGGCGGCGCAACCAGCCGACGGCCAAGCGTCCGTGCGCGGAAGACCGCACGCCTCGCAGCAAAGATGCGAGCACCGATGATGACGAGTAGGGGTGCCCAGCTAGCGTAGCGCCTGCGGTAGTAGGGTCGTCTCCTGCAGTTGGCAGGAAAGGCGCGAAGAGAAAACTCTCCGCGTCAGTAGCTGTCGGTACACCTGCTTTTGTTGTGCCCCGTGTCCCTGTCCGTAACGGTAGTTACGTAGTGCCTAGAGTACGTCGTCGTCCTCATGGTACTGAGAGAAAGCTTTTAGGTCTCACTGCTTTGTCTGAATTTCGTGTCCCCTCCCCGGTGCTTGATGCCGAAGAGGTAGAGCCTCTGCCATCGTCGCGTAAACGTCCTGCGTGTGATAGTAGAAGCGCTGTGTCTTCAACTCCCTTGAGTGTGCCCATCTGTAGCCGCGACGGCGATGTCGCCCCGCAGAAACGAGTCACTTTTGCTGAAGTTGAATCTGAGTCCGCCTCCATGCCCGATGATGCGTGTTGCCGTAGACAGTCGCGGCCTCGCCGCTCGTGTTTGCGTTCGAAGTGTGAAGGAAGGGAACATGTTCCCTGTGGATGAAAAAAATAATTCAGACGATGTGTGGTACAACTCAAGGATGGCGCACAAACCCAATCTTTCTCGCCTGTCTTTGTCTTTGTCGTCGCGACGAGTACGTATTGACGGCTCCGTCGAAGACTGTCCCGTGAGTAACATCACGGTCGACACAGCTACTGATGTCTCTGTCGTGTCGCTTCCTTGGTTGCAATCCCATCCGACCTTGCGAAATGCGCCACTCAAACCTGTCCCTCCGGCCGCCGTATCCCTTCGAGCAGCGAACGGCTCGCCAATAGAGGTCAAGGGGTTCATTGATTTTCCATTAACCCTTTGCGGTATCACCCGTATGGTCACCGCTCTTGTCGTTCCCTCCCTAGGACCCGATTCACTACTGTTAGATAACAGCGTCATGTCGGATTTTGGTGCGATCCTAGATTGGGAACAACAAACCCTGTCCTTTTCGTCCTCTGCTATGCAAATCCCAGCTGTCCACCGCACTAACTCGTCCAGTGATACACGAAGAAAACGTCACCGCCACTCGAAACCGTCCGTGGCTGCTGTCCATAGCGACTTCATAGAGGTTGCTGTGTCTTTGCGTGAACGCGTCGATATTCCACCGATGCGTGAGGCTCTTGCCGTTGCCTACACTGATTGTCGTCCACCGGAAGATTGTACCGTCGTTGTCGAACCCCGGATCGTCTCCGAACAAGACTTAGTCCACGACGAAACACTTAGTCCCTTCCAAAACATTGTCGTTGCCCGTACTCTAGCTACATGGCACGCTTCCGATGGATCTGTCGTTGTCCAAATCGCCAATCCTTCTGCCGATGGCGTCCGTCTTTATGATGGCCTATGTCTTGGTCGATTGTCCACAGTGACTATCACTGAACCCGACCAACTCCATGTCAATTCTGTCGCGAACACACCCGTCACTGACGACGAAATTCGCCACGCCAAGTCCGAACTCGAAGAGCCTCTGTCCAAGGCCTTCGACAACACAACGCTCACCAACGAGCAACAACAAGCTGTCCTCGACTTGTGCGCAAAATACCGTCCTGTCTTTTCTCTGTCGATGTCCGAACTCGGCCGCTGCACCATTGCAGAAGCCACGTTCCCCGTGCCGCCAGGCACGCGTCCTGTCGATCGTCCGCCGTACCGTCCGAATCTCCGCGTAGCCACTGTCTCCGACAAATGTGTCGCCGAAATGCTCGAATAGGGTATCATTGAAAAACGGCCCAGCGCATGGGGAAGCCCATGCACACTTGTCGCTAAAAAGAA